GAGCAGAGTCGACAGGGAGAGCGGAATCGACCGTATAGACGGCGTGGCTGGACATGTTGTCCCCTCTCTACAAGCACCCGTGGACGCGGACGTCCCCGCTTAAGGGGGGGCCGTGTAGTATAACCCCCCCCCTGGGGCTTTATTTTAGATTAGATCAACTCAGAATCGGATCGGTTACTGTAGAGCTCGATGCTCTACAGTACCACCACGTCTTTCCAGCAGTTCAGGGGGCGCACGTGTACACGTGTACGCGCGGGACCGAAGAGCGCGCACACACACGTGTACTGTCAGCCTCGATGGCTGACAGTATTACAGTGTCGACCGACCGCTACAGTACATCGGTACTGTACTATTATGATAGGTTATTATGTACATTAAATATGGAGCGGACCGGCGGCGGTGGAGGAGGACAAGCACGGACTTGTCACCCACCGACCGTCAAGGTCCGACTTCCCGCTTATTCTAAGGTAGCGTTCGCTAACTACCTTAGAGCGGCACCGAGCGCGGGTTGAGGACGCGCGCGGTACGCCCACGAGCCGGCTCCGCCTCCGCCCGTCGGTACTGGATCGTCACCCAGTACCGCGCCGGGGCGTCGAGGCGTCGAACCGCTCGCGCGTACTGGCGTCCTCCCCGTTCCCGCTCTACCACGCTACCCGGGCCCGCTGCCCGGTGCCGTTAGCTGGTGTCCCGCTTCACCCCCGTCTTCCCGTTCGGACGGGGTCTACGTCGAGCTGTGCATACACCCCTCTCCGTTGGGGGTGTTTATGCTACACCGCCACGTCTCTTGCATGCCCTTGCACGCGCAGAGACGCCCATAACAAAGCATAACCCCTGCAACGCAAGATCTCTACTCGGCTTCCACATTGCGCTCGGCCTTCTTCTCTCTCTTCCCGCGCTGCTTCCGGGCCTCTTTGTCGACGGCGTACATCCTAGTCATAAGCAGGACGACCTCGACGCCCATAGCGACGATGAGTCCCGCGACGCCGCCAACAAGCCCGTACGCCTCACTACCGAGCGAGTTCTTCGCGAGGAAGTAGCCGACGGTGAAGCACGTGGCCATAGCGACGATGACGTTAGCGGAGAGCAACATCTGCGGCGCGAGCTTGCTCATGCGCAGGCTCTCGACCTCGGCCGGCGAGGGGGCGGCGGCTCGCGACACGTCGCGCGTGATGCGTGCTTACTGCTCCTCGTGCAGGCGCGCTTGCAGGCGGATACATTTACACTGAAGCGATCTCGAGCAATGAACTAAGCTCGTTCCCATTTTCCACACGTGGATGGCCACACTATGCAGCTTCAAAGTGTTGGTGCGCACCAGTACAATATCAGCCTGGATCTAGTAGAAACTAACAGATATCCGTCCTACACTATATTTTACATTAAAAATGGCTCATCAAGCTAGACCAGCGGTAGGTTTGATACGATCAGAAAAGTGTGCCGCGCGCGCGCCAAAAAATCTAAAACAAATTTCGAACCACTAAATCTACCGGGCCATTCTAAAAAATCCTTTCAGATATTGAAAATCTGACCTCGTAGTGTAGAGGCTTTCGGGCGACTGTAGAACCCGGGTGTGCTCGCAAACCACGGAAACCAGAAGCGAAAGACGCGGTGCTCTCGACCCAGCGGGGCTAACACACGGCCAGCGAACCGCGCGTGCGAGCGGGGAGGCAACACGCGACGTGGCCACGAGAGTCCTAGGGCGCGAGCGAGGAGAACGAGAGAGCGTGAACGAGAAGAGGGTAGTTAGTACCGCGCAAATCCAAGAACGAGAGTGGCGTCCTTGGTCCTTGGTTGCTTGTCCCCAAACCCACCTGGCGCAAGCGCCAACGACACTATATACTGTACTAGATTGCGGTCGAGATGTAACGGCTAGAGCTCACGAGGTCGCATCATAATACACACGTGTACAAGCGCGGTAGTAGGTCCACGTGTGCGCGTGTCGAAAGCGAGCAACGCTAGTGTAAATGGGCTTGGTACTGTACGTCGGGGTACTTCAGTTATCTAGATACACGTGTACACGAGTAGCGCGAAAAGGGTACTACAGTGGCACGGGTTTATACCACAATCTTGAGTTGGTCCCACCTTGTAGGATTGCGATCAGAAACGTGACGTCATTAGCAATCGGGCTTCCGTGTTGGTGCACCAGGGGTGCTTTTCTCAGAGTTGGTTCCATATGGAACCAACTCTGAGAAAAGCACTCCGGATTCCGATATCGGAATCCGGTTGCAACCGATCGGGTGTTGGTACTTTGCCATCGGGCAGTACGAAAGTATAGCGCTGCTATTGTTGTCTGTTCCGTCGGAGGCTGTTGCCACGACGTCTCCGACGAAGATCTTATCTCCTATATAAGATAGCGTTGGTTCTATCGGAATCCAGTTGCAACCGATCCGGTGTTGGTACCTTGCCATCGGGCAGTACGAGACGGTGTAGCGCTGCTACGTTTTCATCTTTCCCAACAGGCTACGTTGCGACGTCTCCGTCGAAGACCTCATCAAGGGTATAAGGTATCAAGGAGCTCCACGACTATTGGATTTACGACCCAGCGGATCAGGTCTACCTACACACCCCCGCACTCGTCGAGCATTTGCCTTTTCAAGTCTTTACCACACTTATAATACCGGGCCGAGCTTTTCTTCCTTTGCCCCCCTTTCAGAGATTCGAGCTAACGCGGGCCGAAAACCCGCATAAAGGGAAAGGGAGCTCCGAACAATACGGGGAATTGCGCCGCCGGCTGCTTTGGTTGTTTCGTTTGTTTGTTTGTTTTCGGGCCGTGTGAGTCTCCGACCTTGCCGACCTCCTATCAGGCGCATTGCACCACAATAACAATTGGAAAGGAAAACATCAAAGCGTTTAATGCTACTGCAACATGCTTAAAAGAGACGGAAGAAAGCTGTGTAACGTATGATACACTCAAAATGGACGCTCTTCACATATACGTTTGCACTGATGCATCGTTCTCTAGAAATAAAGATTTCCCCCTCAACTGGGTTTCATAAACTTTGTCGTGTGGTAATTGCGCATTCAGGAGTAGTTTGCATCCGAGAGGGTAACTGGTCTTAAAGAAAAAAAGTGCCCAGTTTTCCTTATTTTCGTTGGTTCTACTTTCGAGTCTATAGCCCTTTAAATACAGTTAGCTAGTTGCGTTGGAGTATAAATCTCTTCTTTCGTGCCAACAGAAAACGGTGGAAGGCTGGGCCGCGGCTGTTTTCGCTTTGTCGAATCTGAACGACAAGTGCGAACGGTTTTATGCATGCGCCGAACATTTCCAGTTTCAATGCACGGTAATGTTCTGGACACAATTTCATTACCGTCTGTGCCGAACGTTCTAAGCTGCGGTTTGCTATAGCGGTACGCAGAGTTAATAAAATGAAAACAGTGACTTCCTCTGTTTAGAGGTTTTGGCAAGGCGGTTCTTAAGTTGGACACACTTGGGGTTCCAGGTTGGAGGCTTTCAGGGTTGGTGCGTGTTTACGACTTGTCCTCTTTTGCTTTCCCCGTCCAAAACCTGCGCGTTTTATATGGATCTTAGTTGAGACTTCGAACGATACAGTAGATGCTAGACTATAATAAACTACCACTTCAGTCAAGAACTGATCTTCATAAAATTGCTTGTATCCTTATTTTGAATCCCCACCCATCACTTTAACATCCATGAGATACTGTACTCCTCTTTTGACAATTCTTCCCAAGATGGCATGGAACTGGAGTCTAATTATATGCCAATCTTTTAACAAATGAAGGAGGCAGTCCGTTTTGGAAGTATATACATAGTATGGTTATACGAAGTATAAACAAAAGTAATCTCACATCGTATTTGTCCTTCCAACTCTACATTTTCATGCGACCAGCAACGAGCGGTTGCCTCACAAGTGCATCAGTGATGGATTAAATCGAGCAGACCAACGAGTGTTATAGTAGAAGAATTAAAAGAGTTGTCAGATCCATCTTTGGTGGAGATGTGTACGCATGCAGATGGGTTTGACCTGATATTCATCTTACGACATGATCTTGACACCATATTTGGAATGTATATACCTCTTCATATGCTGACAGACCGATTTCAAATATTTGATACATTCAAGAAAGGATCATCTACATCGGAAAAGAGGCTCATGATCGATATAGACTCTGCTGCAGAGTGTCATAACCGGCACGAAATATCATGCATCGGTCTTGTCCCCTCAGAACATAATATTGCTGATGGTCTTAGCAAAGAAACCCCTAAAGATGCCTTAGGTTAGCTAATGAGTAGTGACGCTGACCATAACCCGGTCAAGAAGTGAAATGACCCTAAACAGCCAAGTTGTGTCATTGGAGAAGAGGCAATGTGAGGATATGCTAGGAATTTGGTGTCAGACTAATCAAGTTAAAGGGAACTGTATGAATAAGAACTTGCTTTTCCTATGTTATTGTAATGGGACAGTTTAGTATAAAGTTGTCGTTGCTCGACCTGTGTGTGAATCTGAGAGAGCAAGAAGAGAGTTCAGTGACAAACAGAGAGCCTTTTCGCGAAGGCTGCTCGACTGCACGGACATCGCAAAGGCTCGGACGGTCGTTCGTAGGCCTGTCCATTGTCACTTTAATGAACTCTTAATTTTTGCTGCTTGGAATTCCCTGAAATTCCACGCAAAGCTCTGGGCCGTCCTACCAGGTATATTTTCTCCTCTGTACAGTGGTGGCAAAAACAATAGAACATATGACATTATCCGGTCCCATGGTGTAAGCGCTGAGATACAGGTAATGAACATTGCTGTAGTTGGAGCACGTGGCGAGAGGAGTCTGAATTTTTAAACAGATTTGCAAACAAACAAACGGTTTTAGAGATATCATCGGAGACATGCAAATGAGTCGGCAAAAACTTTAGGTACAGTTCAATGCGAACCTCAATACCGCCGGAAAAACCTACTCTCTTCCCGCCAAACTTCGTCAATGTATAGCATAGCGACACGACAAACAGATAGCCGGTACAGGAGTGATGCTAAACAAATTTCCACCCGTCCAGCATGCCTCGAAAACCACGTTTATCTACTTTCGAGAAAGGACAAATTGTAGCATACCAATCCAACTGTTGGCCTGTGTCACGAATCGCGGAGGAGATAGGGCGGTCTAGAAACGTGGTGAATGCGTTTCTTCGGGACCAGGCTCGATATAATCGCAAGAACCCGGGTGGAGGGCCACGTAAGCTTACTGCAGCTGACCAGAGAAGGATCAATCGAGAGGCTTCCAAGGGTGTTTTGAGCTCCGCTGGCATTGTTAAAGCCTTACAATTGAATGTTAAGGCACGGAGAGTACGTCAGGTACTGCAGGCAAACAAAAACCTGCGATACAAACGAGTAGCGAGGACTCCGGCGACGCGTGAAAGGCATGAAGAAGCTCATGTCTCTTGGGCAAAGGGCACGATGGCCTAGAGTCCACAAAAGTGGGACAAAGTGGTGTGGTCCGACGAAAAAAATTCAACTTGGACGGCCCCGATGGTCTGGCCTATAAGTAGCACGACCATAGGAAAGAGAAAGAGTGGGTTTCAAGAAGGCACAGTGGTGGCCAAAGTCTCATGGTTTGGGCTTGCTTCGCAGGAAATTTGAAGTCAAAGCTTGTGTTTCTGGTGGGCTCGCAAGACGGCGAGAAGTACGTGCAAACATTGGAGGAAAATCTCCTTCCTTTTTCAGAGGAGCTTCCTGTCACCTGGAACTTTATGCAAGATGGTGCTCCATGTCACTGTTCTAAGTTTCCAAAAGACTGGCTTTTTGACAACTACATATCCGTCTTAGAGTGGCCCGCGTACTCCCCAGACCTTAACCCCATAGAGAATTTGTGGATTATTCTTGTAAGAAGGGTTTACGCTATTCAGAGACAATTTGAAAGTATCCAATCGCTCACGGAGTGCATTATTGATGCTTGGGACTCTATTTCTACTGAAACGCTTTTTAGCTTAGCTCAATCTATGCGGAAGCGGTGCGTAGAGGTAGTCCTGCCCAAAAGCAAGAACATAGACTACTGAGAAGAGCGGTCATTGCCCTTCCTGCCCTTCAGCTGCTGCGCGCAATAAACTGTACCTATAGTTTTTGCCGACTCATTTGCATGTCTCCAATGACATCTCTAAAACCGTTCGTTTGTTTGCAAATCTGCTTAAAAATTCAGACTACTCTCGCCGCGTGCTCTAACTTCAGCAATTTTCATTACACCCGAATACCGCAAATAGTCTGGGTGGGCTAATAGTGTGGATACACATATTAGTATAGGCTACAGTAACTTCTGTGAGGTGTTCTTTATTGAAAATGCTTTTACTGTAGACTACACTAATAATTACTTCACGTATATTAGTGGAGACGCGCCAAACAAACAAGAAGCGAAACCGAAACGGTCTCTGAGACACAGACGTTGGCGGGAAGCTCTTCGTATCCGAGTTCATACCTTTCTAAGCACATCAAAGGGGTAAAAAAGCTCTATAAAAGCCTCATTATCTCGACACCTCCAGACAACAATCGCAAAAACTATCACCGAAGCCTACGTCCTGAACATGGACTGCTCTGCATCGCCTATTATTCGGGCTCTTAACCGAGCTACTACCAACACATCTATAGCCGCAATCGCCTGTCTCACCCCTGCAAATGCCTCACATGTCCCCATGACACCCCTCCATAACCGCCACACCCCCTCTCTCCTCACGGCTCCAATCCCAAACTCATCCCTTCCCCCTCCTGCCAACGACACCCAATCCGCTCGGGCATCTATGAATGCTACAGCCTTGGCCCCTGTAACGACCCGAGCACTACAAAATGTACTAACCCATGCTGAACGTATCCGTATTGTCACATGGATGGTTGACGCCGCAAGCACAGATGGCGCGAAACACATTGCATCGCGTGCCATTCGTCGCTTCCCCATGCTGTTCAGAGGTAACGCAAAGGCGAACAGCGCGAAAGCGAGCAGGCTCTGGGCGGCGCGAGAAGAATTTTTGTCCTATTCGAGAAGTGTGGACAACCGTGGCATACCCCTTTCGATAACCCGGGTCACAAGAGTGGGATTCAAACGAGTGTATATCAAGGCTCGGACGGGAAGAGGGCGCAAACGTGCCGTTTGGGTTGAAGCTCTGCATATTGCGCTTCTGGAAGATTTTGATAGGTTGCGGAAGACAGGATTGAAATTCAGTGCTAAGTTGCTACGTCATCTCGCATTGCATCTCGTGAAGGAGTCCAGCAATGTAGATTATCATACAAATATGATAGACGAAAAATAACAAAAATCAATTGTCGATATGATAACTGCACGATGGGTACAGGGGTTCATGAACCGACATCATATTGTCAGCAGAGCGCAAACTGGGAAACTTATGGTGTCTGCAGCGAAGCAGGCACAGATTGAGCGAGATGTTGCGTTCCACCTCGGAGTCGTTGCTAGGGATTTTCGCTCGGGTGCTATTGACGAGAATGATATCTGTAACGCAGATGAAACGCACTTCCTTATCAACCTCGATAACCATAGGACATTGGGGAGGTGTGGCGACTCAGAGGTTAAATATTCTGATGTTGTCTCTGGCTCTGAGGGAATGACTATGATGGTAAGGATTTCAGGTGGTAGGGACGCAATTATTGAAGCTCCGTTTATGATTTTCCAAAACGCGAATAGAAGTTATCCTATACAACGGGTTCCTGACAATGTCCCCGGGGTTTCGTACTGTTCTGGGCCTAAAGGTTGGATGGATAGAACTGTCTTCCCCCAGTACCTCTCCGAGAAAAAGGTCATCCGGCCTCTTCCTCATGGCCGCAAGCGTATTTTGTTTGTAGACAACTGCAGTGGACATGGAGCATCTACAAATTTAGCGACGGCATTGAATTCTATCAACACTGAAGTGCGATTTTTCCCACCCAATGCGACCGATTTGATCCAGCCAGCGGACTCATTTGTTATTCAAAAATTAAAGGATGCATGGAGGTCGCGTTGGGATAAGTACAAGATGGAGGTGATCATGAAAGACGGGTTTGCGCCGGGTTCATGGAAAATTCCTAACCCAGGCAAATACTTTTATCTTCGTCTTGCTGCCGCTGCAGTTCGCGAGGTCAATGCTATGCGCGACAGAGACGGCATTCGTTTCGCACGAAAGGCGATGATACGGACTGGTCTTGCTTTAAATATCAATGGGCAGTGGGAGGAGCGACAGCTTTTCCCGAAGCTGCAGGAGATTGTTAACAAATACCGAACACACTTTGAGGGAGCACCAGTTGTTGATGACCTAGAAAGAGAATAATTGTCGACGAGGTATGTTGCTCGTGATTTGATTGGCCCATTCAGTAAACGAGGTAATAGTGTAGCCTGCACTATTGTAATATATTTAAATAATTAGTCTATGCCAATTGCGTTTGTCCTGCATATAGTGTCGTTGCACATATTAGCATAGGCTGCAGTAAAATCAGTGAGGGCCTGTTTTGACGTTGAACTTTGAATAGTATAGCCTAGACTATTTGCGATATTCGGGTGTACCTGTATCCCAACGCTTACACCATGGGACCGGATATTGTCATATGTCCTATTGTTTTTGCCACCACTGTATATCTGCGTAGCTTTATAGGTCTGGATAAGTGCGAGGTAGGATGGCCCTCAGATGCGCAGGGATATGATGTGCCAGGCACAGAAAACCAGAGTGTAGTTTCTGAGCTCTGACTTACAGTTTGCCCTCCCAATAGTGCTCCTCCCATAACAATAAACCTCTAACCTCTTTTAGTATGGGTGCAACTCGTCTTTCCCGCAAGAAAACGTGGGATTTGAGACGCTATAAGCAAGTCATCTGAATAAGGATATAGTGGTGTGCTTTCGAAAAACATCCTGAATATTTATTAAAATTTTGAGGTAACGACATTTCGATTAAGGATATTTTGGACATTTTGGCTTCTGCAAATGCCATTTGAGCAGTTATGACACCTCTGAGGGGGTTCTACGGGGGTTGGAAAAGGCACATCGTGGATTGAGACGTCAAGTGCAGGAGGAGTTCCGTTTTAAACGAGAATCAGCGATTTTTTAGGACAGAGTTGTGATAATCACACCTCCCGTAGTGATAAACCTCCGTGTATGGATAGTGGTGTCGAACGGCACTCTTATTCGGAGGTTGCACTGTATTATGATCCATGGCTCTGCTCACATATGATTCCAGCTGTGCACAATGAATAGCAGAGGATGGAGGACGGAAAATTCAATATATCAGCTGATCCAAGTCTAGGTCTCATAAACGAAGCATGGACACAACCTAATAGTACAGTAGCCAGTTTTGATGAACCTAAACCTCTTTACTGACTGCCCATTCTGTAAAGCGCGTTTTAAGGCGCAAGTTGCCTCACTGTAATGATCCGCCCTTTTTCGCTCGCTTCTCTGAAAGCTTGCATCATACACAATATACTCTTTGAAAGCTTGAGTTTGGAAACGGTCAGAGAGGGGAGGCGGTGACCCTTGACGGCAGGCAGAACGGGAAATTGTGTGCTGCGTGTCCTCCCAGAGGTTGGATAGGGGCGGATCCGGAGGGGTGACACCGTTTTGTGAACCAAACGGCAAGACAAGAAACGTCAAACTAAAAGAAAGAAATTTCACAATTTTGCGTCCGTGACGCAACGCTGTCATCGTCGCTATTTGCGGCATCCATCTTTTTTGGCCTGACGTGCAGTATTCCACGCTTCTCAACGGGGGGGAGTCAAGTCTCGAGGGCGACGCCTTTTCAGTCCAGCTTCACCCTAGCTTCATTTTCATAGAGCGCATACACCAATCTCTCATCAAATCTTCTTATAATCGTTGCAACGGCGGCACGAACGAGGATCTCTCTCACCCTCCCACAGCAGATGTAAGGTGAAGTACCCTTTCTGTTGGAACTAACCTCGTCCGTCGCAGAAATCAGAATGGGGCGATATATCCTCGGACTTGAAGGAAGTGCCAATAAGATTGGAGTTGCCGTAGTCACGGACGAGGGAAAGATTCTTTCTAATGTTCGCGAAACCTATGTGCCGCCAGCAGGTCACGGTTTTCTTCCGAAACAAACCGCACTGCATCATCAGAAGAAGGTTGTTCCTCTGGTCACTCGCGCTTTGAAGGAATCTGATGTAAGGCCAAGAGATCTCCATTGTATTGGGTACACAATGGGCCCAGGTATGGGCGCTCCTCTTCGTTCTGTGGCAGTCGCTGCCCGCACTCTGTCGCTATTATGGCAAGTTCCTTTAGTGCCTGTGAACCACTGCGTCGCCCATATCGAAATGGGGAGATTAGTTACTGGATCACAGAATCCGGTAGTGCTATACGTTTCCGGTGGTAACACGCAAGTGATAGCTTACGCGCACAAGAGATATCGTATTTTCGGAGAAACAATTGATATCGCAGTTGGAAACTGCCTGGACCGCTTCGCTCGAGTTGTCGGGCTGCCGAACAATCCGTCTCCCGGCTACAATATCGAACAAGCTGCGAAAAGAAATGGCGTCGATCATCGAAAGATGATGGAGCTTCCGTATGTGGTAAAGGGAATGGACGTATCTTTCTCCGGGCTCCTTTCGTTTATTGAAACGGAGGCTCGGAAGGCGCTGAAGGACGGATCCTTCACAGTGGAAGACCTATGTTTTAGCCTGCAAGAGACCGTGTTTGCAATGCTAGTTGAAGTCACGGAACGTGCCATGGCTCACTGCGGGCAAAGCGATGTTCTTGTCGTCGGTGGTGTTGGTTGTAATGTTAGACTTCAAGAAATGATACAGGAAATGGCAACGGAACGTGGCGGTCGCGCGTTTTGCACCGACGAACGTTTTTGCATAGACAATGGGGCAATGATAGCATGGACTGCATTGCTAATGCAACGTAGCGGCAGGGGCGCTATTCCAGTTGAGAGAGCTATGTGCACCCAACGATATAGAACTGACGACGTACTTGTTGACTGGCGAGATGACTGAAGTATGGAACGTTGAAAGCGTACGATGCAGAATCCGAACGTGAATCCCACAATGTGTATCCCGCAATGCGTATGAAGTAATGAGGGAAGCCCCTCGAGCCTTCCACGGCTCTGGATTCACCACTGTTTCATTGCCACGCCTATCGGAAGACGCTTCAAATTACGTCCACGCAGAAGAGATACGCAGAAGAGATGCGGCAAGAGCCTTTTTGTGTGCGGAACCAAGGACTTCACAATTATGTAACGTTGTCTGCTGGAAGTAGGCTGTACGTAGCTGCAAAGCCGAACAACTAAAACAGAAGAGTAATGGAGATCTATGAAAGCTGTTCGTTATTCCCCTTCGCGTTCTCACAACTGTCGTATGAATGACAAGCAGCCATCCACCTGAGAAATTAATGCGTGATTTGGTCCATGGTTCTTTCGAGCGGACAAGCGAGAGCAGCGCTCTCTTAGAGCAAAGCCCCTTGAATTCACTCTCACATTCATTTCCTCCTTTGAAATGTCGAGTGGCACAGAATTCCACTGTCATGCATCCGACCATATTGTCCGTACAACATCCCAAGCCTGCCAAGCATATGAAAAAAAGGAAGAAAAGGAAAAAAAAAAAAAAACCGTGAGGAACGAAAGGGATACTCACACCCTAATTCAGCGGTCCACTCCTCAGGCTCAACGAGTCGAGCATTCAATACAATAAGCAATTGAAGTGTATCTTTGACGAAAGCGCGATGTTTGCAACACAGGCTAGACATCGCAAGACATGTCGACGACCCAATGAGTAATGGTTGCTGGTACACCCCAAGTTTGCGGCAATGTAGTGTACCTTCCCCCGTATGTTCTACAATAAATACAATACGGGACCCACGAAGAATGTGTCTGCATGGTCCAAATTTTAAATCCAATATCTCGATACAGTCCTAGCTTCTCAGCTCATGACGACAACATCTCTTGCAAGGTTTTAACGACGTTTGAGAGGAGAGGGTGGAAGCTGACCAAAAATAGAGTCTTCTCGAAGGGCAAGTTGAGCGGGCGGCCGCCATTCGGCTTCACACAAACAGCACCCAGAAAACCATTATCAAAGTCTTCGCATTTGAAGCCCCTGTATGTAGGCTTGTGTCATTCAATCGAAGATCACAAAGCATTTACATGGAGCATTGGTGGTCAACTGCTGCATGGAAGTACAAAAGTGTGACTCACGCTCACTCACTGAAGAGGGATTTGCCGTCTTGCAAGCACGACTTCGCCTTGCCACGCGTGAGGTGTGTGAATGGACGGACTGATGGTGCGTTCATCAAGTCAAGGTACCTTCATGGAGATGAAGTTTCTGCGCCGAAGTCCTGTCCAGAAAAGCAAAGAGCGGACTGAGCAACAATCTAACTTTAATCTCCTTAGCTACAGGTCTCTCCTGAAATATCCACCCCCTTTTTTTCTTCGAAGTGTCGAGATGTGAGAAAAGTTACAGACAGGTTATTTAAGATCTGGTGTTCCTTTCCTAAATGGCTCTTCCATTTACTCGTCGTCCTCATTTTGGTATCGCATATGTTTCTGCTTTGATTTCCAACCGTAAAAAGATTGTTGCATTTCCTGTACTCAGGCAAGAATATTATTGAATTCATACACTTCCGATGGTAAAATGGTATTTTGTATTCAATTGTTGAATCCCACGGTTTTTAGCGAGTATATTCCATGGACTATCGTTTAGATGCACAAACAGTGGAATGAGTTCCAGTGTTTCACGTGCCAGACAGTGATACTCGACTTCACACATGTCGTTTTCCAGGAAGCTTAGCACGTCTTTGTGTTTCGTCCAGCCCAGATGCATGCTAAAAAAAAATTACCGATTTCATGACAAGGTAGAATACCTTGAACACGAAAATACGCTAACAAGAAGCGCGGTGTTCATTCTGAGAGAAACACGTTGTCCGACCAGCTTCCTATCATTGCAGACGTTACGCCACCAAGGACAAATGAAACAGGCCATAAATTGGAATTGCACGAGTTCTGTACATTGCATAGGAACAAGGAAAGAGCGTCTTGTATGAGTGTCTTCCGCCACGTATAAACAGGATAGGTTATATTCAGGACCCCTCCTAGTTCTCTTAAGTCTGTTCTGATGCTGGCATTAGCTGTCAACAGACAATGTTTCAAGGACCGTTTTCTACCATGCTTTTTTGGCTTGTCAGTCAGAAACTTTTTCTCAGTTGTGTTTGTGATCTCTGCTGAGAAGATATGGTCAACTTGGCATGGAAGTAGAGAGGTTTGGGCATTGCATGGAAATGGTCTCAGCAATGTATGGCACGGAACAACTCGAGGTTTTAGAATCAACTCAGAAAATTAGTACAAAATCAACCAGTCATCTCAGTGAAGCCTCGTGTTATCCGAACGTAGATAGCTGCCTTCGCTTGATGCCACAATTTCAATATGGAACTGACGCATGACCAACAGAAGGTCTTCATGTAAATGATTTCATGAGCCTCTTCTTTCTACTTATCTAAAGCAAAACGCGTTACACTTTAAAGGCAATTGGCCATCACCGTGATACAACAAAATTCGTGTCGATAAAGTTCAGTTGCGTCCAAGTGCGAGAATTGCTTCAAAACCTGCAGTTTCCTTTTGTATTTAATTGACTTCGTCCATAGCATGTTCCATGGGAATGTTGCTATAACAATTTGGTGGCGAGCACTACTGTATCATCAAAAATGTCAAGCGTGCACGATGTCAACGTCTACGGTGCCCGGCTTTATGCTCCAGTTATTTCCTACAGGCGTAGTTGTCAGCTTCGAGGTGTTGAGTACGACAAATTGAAGCAGCAGGTTCAGAAAGCGGAATCCAAGCCTCATATCTTTCCCGGGGTTCCGCTTGAATTGTCATGGCAGCACCATTGTCGGTTTATGGTTGACCAAGACCATCATATCTGTCTCAGAGTCAGCAACTCGTCTTCTTTGGTGACCTGGATGCGTATCACCAAGGTTTCAGATTTACCGGGAATGGATAGAGTCTTACGACCAACTCATTTACTAGAGTTGTCAGATCCGCAAAGAAGTCTGTACATGGATTTTACCATGTTTTTGATGTCGGTAGATGTCAGGATTGTCGGCACCTTTGCCTGCGGGAATTTCCTCAAAGTGGTAGAGAATGACGACTACTACTGCCAGTTAATTGGTGATCGTCCAATTCCGATATTCGTGGAGTGTGTCCCGATGGAAATTCGGATATCAAAGGTTCTAGACTTTGAGCTGCCGGGCAGGCTTGAAAACATGCTTTATCACGTTGCGGAAGATGGTCGAAGTACGATTGGCGATATACCTGCGCACATTCCCATTATCTACGTGGGCTAACGGAAGGACAACGAAGAGTAGTCTTGCCATGGAAAAGGCTTCGGGAAGACATTCTAACTTGAGAACTCGAACTAATTCCTCGACATACGGGGCAGTTATCAATCATACAATGCGAAAGTGCCCTTCAAACTTCGTTTAGCATACCGAGTGGCAATGGCTTTGTTCATTTAAGAAAGCAGAGTTAAGACATCGTCACGTGGGGCTCTTGGGACTTGACCGGTAGGTGGACGCCCCCGTGATTGCGACAGCCTCATTCCTGCAATTTTGAAACAGAGCAAACCAACTTTTCTGAGATGCGGGATTGTTTCCCCTCTCATGAAGCAGTCAACAGCATCTGTTTGCGACACAACTGACGACTTGGCCACTGCAGTGATAATTTAAACCACCTGTACTTTTGTCCTGCGTCTGAATTCACCGTTCAATCGCGAAATGCTATTTAATATAACACAGGTCGGTCTCTTGAATCACATTCATTCATGCTCTTGCAAGACCCCAAACACACACCGCAGGCTGATAATCCGCTGGTGGGTACCGGGGAGGAAGCGGGGCGTATGCGAGCAGGTTTTGCGAAGGATGCCATGCCATGTCGTTGACTTTCGCACCGGTAGGAATGGAGTATCGCAACCCGCCCGTTGTGGACTCGGTGATGTCAATATGTTGACACTCCCCGAGCAAGGCTAGGTACTGTCCATCATGAGAGTACTCTGCTTGCTGTACTGGGACTTCCCAACGATCAATCGTGAAAATGTTGGTTACGCTAAGAGCATCCCAGATGCTGACACACGTATCCATGCTCGTGACGGCAATAAACCTAGATTTTGGATCGCAAGCAATTCCGACGCAAGCTCTGGCGTGCCCTCGCATTGAGGTTAGGGGTTTCATCGATGGCCACTCATCGACGTCAACACTACCATCCCCTCTAGTGAGATACATGCGTTTCCCATCAACGCTCCATCGGAATTGATTAAAGTCCTTCTCGAACGGAAACTTCTTGGAAATTTTCATTGAGAGGCAATCCACAACGTATAAGTTATTTGTGTCGGTGCCGATAGCGATTGAGTTTCCGTCTGGTGCCCACTCCCCGAAGAGGCATTTGGAGTCTGTCGTGATAGAGGCCGAAGGTCTTGTATCCGCGCGTATGTCGAAAATGTTGACAAGATTATCCAGTCCCGCTGTGGCATACATGTATGGCGAGGTTGGGCTTGACAGGACCACTTCAATATTCTTCGAATGGCCTCGACATTCGTGGAGCACACGGCGCTCTGGACGAGCATTGGCTTCGATGTGCTCCGCGTCCCATATCAAAAGGCCAGTGTTATCGCCGGCAGCCGCGAGGCGGGTGCCGTCGAGGTTCCATGTTACTGCTGAAACAACTTTGCGGTGCCCCAAGAAGTGCTTCGTCTCAAGCGAGACGAAAGGGTGCATGTCTAAACTGGTGGTGGCCGGAGAATTATCAGTGCCTAGGGAGATCTGGCTGGCTTGGTGCGATCTCGAAAGCGATACGCATTCTCTTGAATGTGATACTGAGCTGTGGCGCCGTTTAGTGAGCGCGGGAGAGGGTGCCGGTTGCCGACATTACTTTTTCAAGGCTGATGATTCCTCAACATTGCGATCTGTTACTCGGTAGGACCTCAACATATGGTAATTTTCTGTATTATTTTTTTTGAGCTCGAAACTAAATGGATTGGGATCAAGCGTGGGAACACCGTTGTAACGTTTTGACCATTTCGCAAAGCTTGCAGAGGATTCTGTTCCTGTTTATACCATCTTCTTCATAACTTACAACATATGTCTTAGTTGGGGAAATCCTTATCCTTCAGATTTACAGAAGATCTACTTGAAAGTGTAACTCCCCCGTAAATTGCTTCCGGCACAAAACGTGATCGTATAGAGGGGGAATACAGAGAACGAGAAACAGGAAGACTGCCTTGGTGAGATGTGGGTAACGCAAGACCAGTGCTCCAGAATTTCTCTTTTGCCTACAGTTCATCCAGTTACTCGGTTGTCTAATGAAGCAACTACAGCGGACTTGAAACACATGTCTGAGGAGGAATATAAGAAGGACAAACGCATTCAAACAGGGCTACAAAAATCTTCAGGTGATTCCGCTGGCAGGCCCGTAGGTCGGAAATGTTCTGTGACCAAAACCCGAAAGAGAAAAATGGAGGAATGGACCAAAAAGTTGACGATGTATTGTCGATCTCATTGTAAGAGTACTGCGACTGACGTACTTATTCGTATTCTTCGTGCATCGTTCTGTGGTACAACTACTATTCTCGTTTAAAGAATCACAAGGTATCATAATGTTACTCGTCGATGAACTATGCGCTTTGTCTTAGAATGGGTCTGTTCTTCCAACCATTACTAAAAACGTATTTATTGTCTATCCGCCCAAAATTGTCACAGTGAGAAGACGGCATCTTTTAGTTTTTAGCAATACTACCTACTTTTGCATCTCAAAATTCTACTGTAACAGCATTATGCCGGAAAAGACGAGGAAGCTACGTTTGTAAAAAGCTGTTGAGCAGAAGAATGAAGACTAGAAATATTGAGAAGATATGGACCGTTTTCATGGCAAACTGAAGACCTCCGGAAACCTGTTCGACAAAAATCCTGCAATCCGCCTGTACTTCGCCTCGATCATCAGAATAAAGAGCGTAAAACGCGCCAGTAGATCTCAGGAGAACCGAAAGTACCAAAACAACTGCCCAATGTTATAAAGGCACGAGGGGATGGCGTGGACCACAGAAATGCTACCGTGCCATGAATGCGCAGACTATGTATGTCGAACAAGCGTTTCTACCACATCAACATGCTGGGAATCACCTCATTCATGATTGATACGGACGGTACAAGAACAAACGGATCGCTATGATTACTATGATTAGAAATAACTAAAACTTCCGCAGCAGGCGAAGGGACACAGCGTGCTAACGATGGATAAGTCGCCATGTCATTTTCGTTTACAGAAGTCGTTGTAGCGTCAAGGTCGTTGTAGCGTCAAGGAACTTGTAATAGTGCATCACTTCGTTGGTGAGCAGAGTTGCTCAGTTTGGTAAGTCCCCGTACTCAAGCAGGCCAGTCGCTTGTTCTACACATTCACTGGAGGAACAAGTTTTTCTCGGCGAAAGGCAGATCATTGCCCCTTCAGCATGGCTCATCAACATGTAGGGAATTCCGACAGATCGCCAGACATTGAGTTACCAAACGTACCAATATGTGATATTCGTACAAGCAAGCATTGAGCTAGAGGATCCGGGAAGGTGAAGAATATCAACTCATCTATTTATACATATGGATGTCACATACGTACGTACGTAGCTGCACATACACGGGTATGCACCTCACGTGCAGCTCTCAAGACGCCTTTCGTTAGATTATTATTAGGGATGAAATGAAATACAACTCAAGACTTGGAAACGGAGGACGACTAAAACTCCGGGCTTCCCCAGCGATTATCAGCAATAGGTCTTCGACGTGCTGTACTATATGGGTATGTCGACCATACCTGTCGTCGGACGGTGCAAAATATTGCAGTTGAACGCGCTGACGTCGGACACGTTGCGCGACATTGTAAATATCAGCTCACTTGTTGCATCTGATGTCGAAAAGACCTGCCCTCCTCGAAAACCACACTCAACTTCCTCCAGCATCATAATATCACTACCCGTGGCATTCAATCAGTGGGCACGTACGCAGTCCGTGTTGGGCTCTTCAAAAAAACTCAAGCACAAGGTCATAACTGTGCTCTCCCACAATGCCCATCGTACTTGAAGTTGTCGTCACTGGAGCTTCTCTCTCTCCAGCATTAAAAAAAATCGGTCACATTGTCAACTGCCACCCACGACATGACGCGGCAAATGAAACAAACGTGCGCTTGCCACCGCAACCCTGTCTCACCTAGCGTGGCGGCCATTCGTAATCGCCTTCGCGTCCCCTCGCTTGGCCTCGACCCCCAGGGCTCCACCGAATGGGGAACTGTCCTTGAGCAGGGCCTCGTGCGTGACGGACCTCTCCGGAGGCCCGTGTGCCACGACCTTGTTATGCATAAACCCGAACGCGGCGCTGCTCATCAAGAAGGCGAGCACGATCGTGGCGGCCAGGGCGATGACGACGGCGGTGGACGAAATGCTGTCCGCGAACGAGTTGACGGTCTCCGCGAAAGTCTCTGCCCACACGGTGGCACTTAGAGCGTCGCGGTGGACAACGTGGCCCCTGCGCTCGCACGCGAGCCACTTCTTGCACAGGGCGTCCAAGGCCGGGGTCGGGTGGGTAGCGACGCCGTCGCGCAGGAGACATGCGTTGGCCGTGCGGGCCAGGAGGCACTCTGCGGCCTGGATGGCGAGGTGGTCCGCGCGGAGGCTAGTCTTGCGGGCGACGTCTGCGTACAGGGCGCGTGCGAAGGCGGCGACGCCCGCGGCGAGGACGAGCGACACGACCACGCACAACATGGCGTGTGCGTAGCCGGCGGCTGCGTACGCGGCGG